CGGTCATTTGTGGACTAACTCAGCTTTACTTACTTTGCTTATGGGTGTTTTGTATTTTGCCGTTGCATTCAGGTAAGCCTATTTTAAACTTCCTGTCTTCTTTGATTCTTTGTTCTACCTTTCATTTGTCCATTATTTGTTCTTATTTGTGTTATGCCTTTTTCCCTTGTTTTCCCTTTACATTTTGCATGCAACTTTCTTCGTCTGTGGTTGCTGTAAGGAACTTTCTTTCTTCGTTATCTTCTCTTACATATCTGCAGCTTCGTATTGTTTCAAGTTAGCTAATCATTTTCTCTTTTTTATAGCTTTTTGTTTCTTTGCCATCTTCTATTATATACTCTGCAACCTTTTTTTTTTGCTGTAGGTTAGATGTTCGTTCTTTTTCCCCTATTTTACTTTTTGTTCTGGTAGTTTTTGTTTCTTCTTAAACTCCTGGAAAAGGCTATGAGTTTGTCCGAGAATTGTTCCATAGGTCTTTAATATTTTGATGTTGTATATTTATTAGTTTTCACATACTCCTTTATTTTCCTATTGCATTCAATATATATATGAATCTCTGCATCTGTTTCTGCTGTATATCTATTTCTTTCCTCGTTCTGTTAGTTGAGTTTTATTGTTCGTTGTTGTGCTGGTTCAGGTTATTGTTGTCAACGAATGATATCTACTTTATTTTTTCCTTTACATACTACTTTTCTGTCTTCTGTCCCCTTTTTCCTTTGCCTGTGCTTTTGTATATTATTTTATGTTCCTTGTTCCTTGGTTAATTAAGTTAGATGGATAGAAATGCGATATGCCGAAAATGATATACAGAAATCCCCCAAAGTAAGAAGGCTGCGCTTTTACGCCGTCGAAGTGAAGCTAGGGCTGCAAAGAAAAGAAAGGAATCATCGCGTTCTTTTGTTCGTAGTGTTCCACTTGGTTATGTAGAAACATGTGTATTTTTTCCTGATCCTTGTTCACGTGGAGACAGTAACATTCAGGATAGTGGAAATGACAATGTTACGCTTAATGAAATGCTACGACATAGCTCGCTTGGTTTTACTAATGATCAGGGTGTTCTGATTGGAGAGGGATTGGACTACATGGCCAGCAGTGGATCTGCTATCACTAATATTTCCGGTCCTGCTCCTTCTTCTGTTGTTCCCATTGAATCAAATCCACTTCTTATTATTCCTGAAGGTATATCCAGCCTGATTTTTCCCCACACATCAGCCATGTCTTTATCACTCTATTGTTATACCGGTATCTTTCCCTATTTTTAGTTAGGCATCCCATCCTGATACAAGTCCAGCCTTTAATTTATATACATTGCAGAAACTTCACTCATTGGTGAGCTAGGGAGTGGAAGAGGTAGGAAAAAAAGTGGTGCGGTCATGCAAAGAGAAGAACAATGTGGATCTTCTCATGATTATCCTGCGGTGCGGTCTTCTAGGAAAAGGTACATGAATACCATATCCACAAAACCATCTCATGTTTCAAAAAACATTGCTATTCTTTCTGCCAAGAATAAGCAAGTCTTCAATATTCAGAGAGATAAATCAGATAATGTTCTCCAAGTTACGTAAAAGCCAAATTCTGATCTTGAAACATGTATCAGCTCTGAATCTTTAAGTCGTTCATCGACAAACTCTATTCCTTCCTCTATTACATTGGATCCTTAGCTAAGAAATATTACTAACAAGCAAAAAAAAGCATGCTTTCCAATTTCCAATCTTTGGTCTACTGTTCAATCTTCTAGGCAGCGACACAGGAACACCTTGTCAGGAACATTGACTTGGGGTCCTTGAAATAGTATAGTCCTGCCTAATGAGATTAACCAAAGGTTTAATATTCAGAATGAGAATTCAGATAATGTTTTTCATCATATGAATGAACCAAATTCTGAAATCAATAATGTTTTCGACTATAAATCTTTGGATCATTTTTCAACAGACCTTGCATCTTCTTTTACTCAAGTTGATTCTGAACCTAGATGTCTCTCTGAAGGTATAATATTGGTCCTTTAAATTGTCACCTTTGCCAATATCTTTTGCTGCTTGTCTAGTTTCTTCTGATCGTGGAAGAAAAAAAGCAAAATGCTCTATTTACCATACCTGTAACATATCTATGGCAAGATAATCTACAATGGACATCTTATTAAGATTTACTATTGCAGTTATCTAGCCTTGCGACGAAAATTCAGCTCAGTAACATCAAGCAAAGGCTGATGTTTCCAAGACAAGAAAAAGACATAGAAACCCTTCTAATCTTGCTGCTGCTATTACTCTTCCCAGGCCAACGCGTAGCCATACTGTTCATAGCAGAGCCTGTGCAACAGGTTGCATTTCGTTTATAAGTGACCCTAATACCGTTCATATCAGAGCCTGCGCAACAGGTTGCATTTTGTTTATTAGTGACCCTAATACCATTTAAGTCATTTTTATACTATTTTCCCCCTCTCGCAGAATTGGACTTTGTTATTCCATCAGCTATATTGATCCATCTGTAGGGGAAAATGGTATAGGTGCCAGGACATATCTTTCAAGGATTGATCATATTCCTGATGCACCTTTACTCCTTCCTGGTACTCCAGAATGTCAATATTGTGGGGCTAAGAGGTTCTATTTAGAACCTCCTACTTTTTATTGTTCCAAAGGGGAAATCTCTATTGTCGCTCCTAGTATGCCTTATGCTCTCAAGCGTCTTTTCATAGGAAACGATGAAGAGAGTGAGCATTTTAGAAAATTAGCTCGCACCTATAACAATAACTTAGCTTTCACAGCTTTTGCGGCAAAATATGATTCAGAATTAACAAAGAATACAAAGGGTGTTTATACTTTTCGTGTTCAAGACCAAGTTTATCATTTTCTCAATAGCTTATCGCAATCAGCTGATAGATCTTTTGGAATTCAGCTATATATTTTTGATACTGATGAGCAGCTCAAAAGAAGAGTAGCTAGTTGTGACAAGTTGTGTGAGAGCACTTTGAGGTTGTTGATGGATATCCTTTATGAGAATCCTTATGATAGATTTTTCAAGGATCTCAGAGATGTGCCAAATATTAACAACTTGAACATTGCTCTTAACTGCTACCCTACTCTAGACCAATGTGTATATAATCTCCTTTCTACTTCCCAAGTTGCTGCAATATGGATTGAAAGTGATGATGAATCTCTTGATAAACAGGCACATATTTTGGTCTATAGTCACTCGAACACAAGTCATAGGATCCAACATTACTATAGTTGTTATGATCCTTTACAATACCTTTTATTATTTCCTCGGGGTGAATCTAGATGGCACCATGGGATTAAACGAGTCTATAAGAGAAAGAGAGATGATGGTTTATGTGAGGATGAAATTGATATTGATCCATCTTCTGTTGAACACTCCTTTGATTTGATTGATTTGGAAAGAAGAGGCAAGTGCACATGCTGTCTTTCCAAATTTGTGAATGTTATTTACAATAAATGCATTTCTTCATTGATATACTGGTTCTTTCCTTTTTATAGCTGCTGACCGTGGCAAGAAAGAAGAATACACTGTCTCGGCTAGAGAATATTAGTGTTATAGATTTCAGATTAGAGATAATGATGAATCCATGTTGCTGCACACACATAGATCATTACAGCAATTTTCTGTTAATGGGTATGTAAAGATTGAACTTCTGGGCTAGATTTTCTATGGAAAAGACAGAATGATATTTGGACTGAAATTCTTGAAGGAGTGTTGGATAGTCTTTCAATAGGCCAGACTAAAGGTTCAAAGGTTGGTCGTAAAATGATATTACCAGCTTTATTCATAGGTGGACCGCGAGATATGAGGCGTTGATATCTTGATGCCATGGCCTTGGTTCAAAAGTATGGAAAACCTAATATTTTTCTTACGATGACATGTAATCCAATGTGGAAAGAAATTCAAGACAATTTGCAATTTACAGAAAAACCTCAAGATAGGCTAGATCTTTTGTCTAGAGTGTTCAGACCAAAATTTGAAATGCTTAAATCTGAACTTTTAGATAAGAAAATCTTTGGAGAAGTAGCTGCATGTGTTTATGTTATTAAATTCCAAAAAGAGGATTTCTTCATGCTTATTTGTTATTAATTTTGAAACCACAGTTCAAGTTGTTGAATCCTCAATCTTATGATAGGATACTACCTGCCGAGCTGCCTAACCCTCATCAATATCCCCATCTATACTCTTTTGTTCTTAAACACATGATTCATGATCCATGTGGAGTTATGGATCAAACTAGCCCATGTATAAGGAATGGTTCATGCAAGCATCATTATCCCAAAAATTTCTGTGAACAAACGGTTCATGCTGAGGATAGTTATCCATGTTATAGGAGGAGAGATGATGGTAGAAAGATAAAGGTGCGTAGATATGAACTTGACAATAGATGGGTTATTCCATATTGTCCTTATCTATTGGCCCTTTTTGATTGCCACATGAATGTGGAAATTTGTTCCACTTTGAAGTTGGTGCAATATTTATACAAATATGTTTTCAAAGGACATGATCTTGTTAGTTTTAAGATTGTTACTGGAGAAAGCTCCACTGATGTCGATGAAATAAAAGAATTCTAGCAGGGAAGATGGATTTCACACCCTGAAGTTTGGCAAATCTATGAATTCCGACTAAATGAGATGACCCTAGCAGTTTATTCTCTTCAAGTTCATCTCCCTGGCCAGCAGCTTATCACTTTCAACAAAAATTCAAATCTTTTAGAATTGATGAGAAAGATTGATTTTTCAAAGATCATGCTAACTGAATTCTTTGAAATGAACAAAACAAACTCAAAAGCTGAAAATTTGAAGTGCTTTTATAGAGAGTTTCCTATGCATTTTGTTTGGTCTACTAAATTTAAAATTTGGACTGAGAGAAAATGTAAAAAGGTTATTGGAAGACTGGTAACTGTTAGTTCTAAGGAAGGAGAAAGGTATTACCTTAGAGTGCTGCTAAATCATGCCCGAGCACCTATGTCATTTGATTACCTTTTAACTGTTAATGGTTAGAAAATGAACTGCTTCAGGGAAGCTGCTTTGAAGCTTGGTCTATTAGAGTCTGATACATATATAGAAGATACCCTTGAAGAAGCAGCAGTTTTTCAGATGCCATCATCGTTGAGACTGTTATTTGCTATTGTTCTTGTTCATTATTCACCCACTGATCCTAGATTACTCTGGGACAAATTTGAACAACAGATATGTAGTGATTATCAAAGATCACAGGAACTTTATCACTATTCTTCTGCTGAAATTAGAAGTAAAGTCTTGAAAAATATCAGCAGATTGCTCAAGCAGATGGGTAAAAATATTGATGATTACCATTTAATTCTAGATAACCTTAGAGGTGCATATCATGAACAGTTAACAATGGAAATTAACAGTGAAAGGAATATTGAGGTATTACCAGAAGATCTACTTTTGCCTTTTAAATTGAATGCTCTGCAGCGGCATGCTTATGATTTAATTCTGCATGCAATTTCTTCTTCTGCTGGCCAAAGTTTCTTTATCGATGGTCCGGGTAGAACTAATAAGACCTTTCTCTATAGGTTGATTTTAGCTGCTTTAAGATCTCAGGGGCATGTTGCTATCGTAATGGCAATATCCAGTGTTGCAGCATCTGTTCTTCCAGGCAGAAGAACAGCGCATTCTAGATTTAAAATACCACTGGATTTGTCAACAAATAAAACCTGCCAACTCAGTAAGCAAGGTAGTGTTGCAAGATTACTTTTTGAATCAAAACTGATCTTGTGGGATGAATCATCAATGGCCAAAAGAGAAACTATTGAGGCCTTTGATGATTTGCTAAAAAACATAATGGAATCTGAGCTGCCATTTGGAGGAAATATCATTGTTTTTGGAGGAGATTTTCGACAAACTTTACCTGTAATTGAGAAGGCTTCAAAACAAACTCTCATAAAAGCTAGCCTTCCTAATTCACTTCTATGGAATAAATTTCATAAGTTGAAACTGACAGAAAATATGCAGGCCATTTTTGACCCAGCATTCTCAGAGTTTCTTTTGAGGGTGGGCGAAGGAAGGAAGCCTGTTGATGCACAGGCCAAATAACCTTATTGAATAACATGGTTATTCCATATTATGAATAAGAAAAATCTCTAAACATGTTATAAAATTGTTATTCAACTATGCTTCTTTTTACTACTTCTTCCCTTTCTAAATTTGTCCTTTACATGTATCTTGACTTACTTTTCTTATATCCAAGTTGATAGAATCTGTATTTCCATATTTAGGCTTATTCAAATGATCCTTATACTATGATCAATAGGTGCATTCTTACTCCAAAAAACAATTCAGTTGACGAGCTAAATGATATCATGATATAAAGGTTTCCTGGAAATCTTCATGTTTATGCTAGATCTGATAAAATAGTTGATTAGTGCCATCAAGGAGATTATGAAGATTTTCTCAATTTACAAAACCCAAAAGGTCTTCCTCCTCACAAGTGGTTGCTTAAAGAAAATTGTCTCCTCATTCTTTTGAGAAATCTGAACCCTGTAGAAGGATTGTGTAATGGTTCACGTCTCGTCTATAGAGAGCTCAGACAACATATAATCTATGCTGAAATAGCTTTTGGCTACCTAAAATTCCTCTCCAAACATCTGATAGTGAAAAGAATGGCCTCCCATTTATAAGAACACAATTTCCTGTTCGACTTTGATTTACCTTAACAATTAACAAATCTTAAGGACAAACTCTTGATTATGTGGGGATTTACCTTCGTGAGCCGGTTGTCTCTCATGGACAGTTGTACGTAGCTTTATCTACAGCTAAGGCATCAGCTGCAGTTAAAATTCTTATTGTGCCTGGAACTTTTGGAGACATTAAAGTTGATTGCAAGACTAGAAATGTTGTGTTTCAAGAAATATTTCAACTAACTCAGCACTGATGTTATTAAGCTTAGGTATACTATACAGATTTATTCATTCATTGTTCTTTGACTGATATGGTACTTTCTGACCATAATAACTTTCTTCTTTTTCAAGAATGGTTGTTCCAGTATATATCAATGCTTCTGATATCTTTCTTCTTTTCTATCCATGAAAATGTAGAATGGAAAAGTTGCTGACAATAAAAGAAATTATGCCTAAAATGCAAAGCTGGACATGCAAAATCACAGTTCAAGAAAAACAGCAAGTTAATCAATGTCCACCCTGACAAAAAAACAAAAGTTCATATTTGTTGATACTGAGGTACATAGCCAAAAATATCTATATTAGACATATGCATATTTAAATTTTATAGAAAATAAACATGAATGACATGAAGTTATGTTGTAATACAATAGGGATCAAAAGTTGAAGGCATTATTTTCAACAATGACATCCCTAGAATGAGCTCAATCCTCCAAGTTCATAAGAAATACAAGATATCCAATGCTGAAGTGAGGCCGATCTTGCCGAAATATTAGACTGCTGAAATAACTCATCAATGGACAATCACTAGCAGAACTGTTATTCAAGAGGTTGTTGATGATGAAGACATGATGCTTGTCAAGTTCAACTGTACAAAGTTTAGAGATTTGGCACAGTACATGGATGATAAAGCTAAATCAGTTGGTATATCTCGTTACTTGGTCTATATAAATAACATGTATATCTCTGCATGAAATATTTGACAAATTTTTCCTTTCTGTAGATGTCCTCGGAATAGTTATTGAAGCATTGGAGAAAAAGACAATTACCACAAACTACAGAGAGTCAATTGTTAAAAAGTTTGCCCTTGTGAACGAGGAGTAAGATATACAATTTTTATCTTATATATAATGATCAATAGTTATAATTTCTCCTATTAGATATATCTTATTAAGTACTGATTATTTATTTCATAGTAGATCGTAGACTCTTTTACTTTCTATGTGGGATGATTTCATCAAAAATGAAGGAGAACAGATAATTTCTGCCATGAACAACTTTCCTGTTATTATTGTCCGAAGGATAAAAGTTAGCAACTACAATGGTAACTTACAATTTAATGCCTAACCATCATCTGATACATTTATATGCATATATAACTCTCTCTAACAAATGGTCTTGAATCAATAAGTATTCTATGTAGGTGTTTCTCTGTCCACATGGTTTGATTCTGCAATCCTTGTTGATCCTCTTGTTCAAGAAGCAAGGAAACTAAAGAATTGGTTTTGATTTATTTCTTCCCCCTCATTATCATTCTCAGCAGTTCATGATTCATGCTATATAATTCGTTCTTTACATCTTTAATCTTATTTTATTATAGGGCAATAAGAAATAGCAAGTAGTTGACAGTTATTCTAGAACAAAAAAGTTATACTAGGTTCAACCATGAAATTTCATTGAAACCAGTCAGAAAACCACCTTAATTTGCAATGTTAATCCTTCCTACAAGGTATAAGCATCTTCGCTAATAGCTTATTTCATGCTATGTTTAGTTATCAAACAATATATTCATACTTTTTACTTTTGAGTTTAGAGTACATGGGTCAAAGCATAGTTCACTTTCCAGCACATATTTCAGAAATACTGGCATATGAGCTGCAAAAAATGTTATCGAGGTATTGCAACAGCCATGGAGTCATTTTTAGCTGTAATACTTGCAAAGAAAAACATCCTACTGAGCCAAGGTCCTTTACTGAAACCTTTTTTTTTTTTTTGCAGAAAAGCTTTAAAGTTTACTATCATCATCATTTTTTACACATGCTAAGCTTTTATTTGCAAACATTTTTCTAGGTATTGCTTTGATATGGATTTACGGGATCATACTGGAGTTATTACAGCTTCTATCTTTGGAGAACAAGTTGAACAACTGCTGACGTTCAATACTCTTGAAATAATGGAACACTTTAAGCATGTCCATGTTCAACTGCCGGCAAATTAGTAAGAAGACAATTGTCATTACAATGCTATATTATTCACTTATACTAAATCATAAACTAGAACCATATTCTTTGCTTTCTGAAAACTTTTTTTTTAAATACTTTCTTATTCACAGAACATTGAACTTCCACTTGAAACTGTCCACAAAGAACTTGAGTCAAAGTGGTTCTTGGTACACATTAAGCTAGTACAAACTCAAGTTGCAGATACAAAGCAACGATATACAATCATCTATTATTCTGAGATTGTCGATGCTGCTACCCAAGTTTCCTCTGTCAATGAATTAATCGTTCCCTTTCTATCAGTTCATGATCAGGATGACCCTTCATAGATCACAACTTCAGGTATATGAATGTACTTATCACACATAAATAAATTTTTTTCTTACTCCAAATTAATGTCATGGTTCTCCAGGCACTGTAACTATTGAAGAAAACAATCCAACTTCAAAGGTTCGTCTTTCACTGAATCAAAAGTTTGATTAGGCTGAAAAACTAGAAAAGAACGCCTCTCAACTTGAAGGGTCTCTTGCAGCAAGAAGCCAAAACTGAAGTAAGTTCTCATGTTCCAAAGTTTGTTTTGAAACTTAGGGTTGCTACTTTGGACCTAAACTGCTCCTCTATGCTTTTTGTTGAGCGATTTATGATTCTAAGAAATCATAGTATTGCCATGCTGTCTTTTCTTCAGCAATTTATCATTCCCAGAAATCATAGAATGACTGCTATTTAACTATGCTCTGGCTTGTTTCAAGATTACATAATGATCTCTTGTTGTCGACGCAAAATCCTTTATTTGTCAAGCTAAATGTTTTATGTTATCAAAATTGTTTCCATTTATCTTTCTTACACGTATAAAAATATTGGTTCAGAGTGAACCACATGCTCATTCCTGAATCATTCTTATTTATTGCAACCTTATCTCATTTTAATTATTCTGATAATATGCACCAACTCAATTTACTCTTACCATTATTTTTTGTCAAACTGTAAATGTGTATCAATTAAATTATAAGCTGACATATTCAACCATCTTCATTAATGATTCCTGTCCTTATGCATTAATTACGTTAAAAGAAAATTTCTTTTAAGTTTCTTAATTTTCTATATATACCTATCTTTTCTATTCTAAACTTCATGACTCTATTCTTACCATACATTCATAACCCCTTCAGATTCAGAATCTTTTTTTATGTCTAAACTCTCTTCTTTCATTTCAATTTTAAACCTCACTGCCAACTAGAACAAATCCATACCTTACTTTTCTTCAAGATGGCAAGCACTAATTCACAAAGATGTTGCTTTCTCATCAGATGCAAAAATAGAGGCCAACTACATTCCTTTTTGTTCAATACCACTATGTTTCCAAAATTTTCCCATCTTTAGATTTCATTTAAAAACCATGTTATATTAACATCATTTGCAGGTTTTGCCTCCTCTATTCAAATCGTTACTATCTCAACATGGCCGTCATAGAATTATCTTTAGGCATGGAATAGAACAATGGAATATTATAGTAAATGATAACTCGTTAGGAGCAGGATGTGATGAATATTGTGAACAGAATATTGCTAAGGAACATCACATACTATTGCTTCAACATACTGGGAATTTATTTTTTGATGTTATTAATTTTTGTGAACTGCAACAGCAAGTTAATCTCGGCTGGATAGTCCCTCTAACCAGCCTTCATCTTTAGCAAGATGTATATATTCATAACACATCTTTATCCTTTCTATTTCATACTAACGTTCCAATCCTACATTATTTATTCCAACAGAAATGTCTCTTATGTGCAGCTCATGCTTGTTCACCAATTCATGAAGAAATAGTGACATCTTCACTTCAACCTCATTTTCCCCAAGATTTATCCAATTTAGTATGCTTTTATCAAAACTTTCACTTAGCTGACCCGTATACATTGGTAAAGAATCCTTATCATATTTTCCTTAAAATTATTCCCTAGCTAACTCATTTCCTTCAACCTAGCTCTCTAACTTTTACTTTTTGTATTAGAAAATCCCACGATTTGTTGACTACTTTCTCAATGAACAAAAAACTCCACTTATAGCTCTCAAAACTGGAGATAACATAACAGAAATTAGGATGAAAGGGAAGCGGCTCAAAAAAAATTGGAAAGCTTTCGTTCTCCAGCATCAACTCCAGCACAATGACATGACGTCATTGTTTTCATTTCAGAATC